TTTTCTTAGGGCAAAGGTTACTCTTAAAGAAACTTCTGAACATTCTTATTTGTATTGTTTCTTTTCCACATCAGAATAAAACTTGGTTTTCAACTACTATGTCTGTCAAATATTAATTTGCTAAAGATACAATATGAGTCACATTCTACTTGGTGAATACATGTGATTGGAATAAATTATGACTTCAGACTGCTACAGCATTATATTTAATTACTGGAAGAAACATCTCTAACTACACTGCAATATAACAGCACCTAATTTCATTATATCGTTCACTTAGTTTTGAGTGTATTTTGCTGTATAGCTTTCTTTAAGTCAAATATAATCTGGGATGCATTTGCAGTACATATGCTTATGCTATTTTTTTCCAAAACAGTGGAAAAGTAGGTATGTTTCTTTGGAGACAGAAATACTGAATTATATATTTATTTTAGTCCGTCACAATTAGCTCACATACATGATAGGTGTGTTTAGTTCGACACTAATGGATGGACAAGACCCCCATGGAATTAGAAATTTTTCTTCAGTTCTATCTTCAGTAAAGTACATGAGGCAAACAGGAGGATTCCAATAACTTTTAACCCCAAAAACTGTCACTTGGAGGCTGATGACTTCCTTCTGCTTCTATTTTCCTCACAAAATATCATACCTTCTACAGAATTCTACTGCTATTTCTTTGTTAGTTTTGTCTCTTAACAATACAACTTCTTGTAAGAAAATACAACATCTGCTTATGGAAGAGGTCAAAAAGTCAGCCAATGGAGGAAGTTTTCAAAGCCACTTAGATACTCGTAGTGGGAGACTTTGAAGTTGTTATTGATCAGTTCACTTTGGAATGCTCCATGCATATGGTTTTACTTTTCAACAAATGGCTGGCTTCTTTGCACACATTCTGATAACCCACCCTTCACAGAGCCCCATACAAACATTTCTGTGAAGCTTCTATAAAACAAAAGCCACTTGAGTTCAACATAAAGTACATGATCCTTAGAACATAAAAAAAATTCCAAATGGTGACTAAAATTACTAAACCTAAGTTACCTGGAACTCTAGCAAACAAAAAATCAAGTATTTTTCTTTTCCTTCAGAAAATGTCACATTAAAAAGACTTCTTTTTATATTGAAATAAGTTCTCACACTCCATATATATTACCTTAATAATATAATATTTTGAATAAATAAAGATAAAGAATATATCTTGAATAAACAAGATAAAGAAATTTCTTAAGTATATTACAAATCACAATACTAATTGAAATGGCCTCAGGAGTTTTCCGCTACAGCTTCCTCAGCTTTGTAAACTTCCTTGGATATATTTCCAAAAATCTTTGTACATCTCTGTCTGCACAGGTTCCCTTATTTTGAATTTGGTGAGTACTTAGTTGTTTGGAAATATCGTACACTTCATTGGGAAAAAATATCTATAGGCCACTACTGTATTCTAGTTGTAAAACAAGGTATAAAACATCACTTACTTAAGTGAATTTCAGTTAAAATTATTCTCTTAGTGTAAATAAAATTTTTGCATGGAATATTTTAAGAGAAAATTATGATACTAAAAATCCAAGAAATACATGAGTCAATGAATGATAATTCTTGGCTTTTCGTTTGACAATAGATTTTGTTCTTTGTTTCTGCTAAATGAATTCTCTATTAATGTATGTACTAGGGCTTCAAATAATGTTTATCAATATGTTTCTTCCTAATAAATTTGTATTGAAAAACACAATCATTTCATGAGAATAATACATCCAACACTTCTGGTATTTGTACCAAAATGACATTCAGACTCAAAAATCAACATATTCGAAAATGTGCTTTCGATTTTGAACTTATTTCTATTTATTTAAATTCTAGTAATTCCCAAGTTTACCATGTACCAACTATTGCTCTATATTCTGGATTAATAACCGAATTCAATTTATGCTTTAATGGAATTTAGGTAGGAGGATTTAAAATGATCTAACAGATAAATGAGATCACGATAGCAAACTATGAGCCAAAGGATGCCACTGGATTATACAAAAGGGTATCATGGAAATTGCACTTATATTTTGGCCTCAGGATAAATAGAAAGTAACTACATATATGGGATTATGAAGATCTTGTGTGAGGAGTTGTTTCAAACATTACACACATTATAATGTACATGCTAATGAGAGATACTGACAAAATCTAAGAGCTAAAAGAACCTGTGTGCTGGTGGAAAGTCGTTTTTGAGGGAAGAACAGTGACAAATGAGGGTGGAGAACCAGGAAGCAGACATGAAAGACAGAAAATCAGGTAACTGGAAATTATCTTAAAGAAGGATGCCTTTTCAAATGTTTAACAATTTAATGCATTTGTCCTAATCACAGCAGACACGCAATCAGTCACTAATACTGCTAGCTCAGCGTCAAGCATGAAATGCAACTGAAAAGTTTTCAGAAAACTAGTAAAATGAAGCAAACAGATTGGAGGGAAATAAGAATTGCAATATGAGACAACGCATTGATCTGGTCCAAGTGAGAAATAAATGTGGCTACACCAGAATGAGATCAGTAGAATGAGGACCCTAAGTGTGTCTCAGAGATCTTTGGAAGACATGTCTACAAACTGGAGTCACTGACTGGGCTTTTAATTAGACTAATGATGCTTGAGAGAACACTGGAAAACAAAAAAGAAAAAGGGGTGACACTGGTCAAGATGCATTGTATTCATAAATTGCTTTTTGTTTTTTTTAACTGCTTTGTTAAATGGCAACTCTCTTGTATAAGCACTTAAAGATAATTTTTTTTAAAAAATCACAAAAGAAAAAAAAGAATATTTACTTGCTTGTCGAATTTGGGAGGATGGGACAGAACATGACATCAATGTGAAACAACTGACCTCAATCTATCTAAGAGAAAGCCAAATGTGCAGCAAGTATGGGAATCAGGAGCGAAGTTGGGTAAACTGGTGATCCAAGGTTTGGGAGTCATCACTAGAAAGAGCAAAGAGAGTAGATAAAAAGTGCAGAGCTGGGTGAGAAGTATTTTGGGGAAATGATCAGTGTTGCACCAAGTATCTGGAATCCCTGTGTCTACCATTGTTTGTATCACTCCAAGATATTTTTGATGACCCTTCTGCTATGCTCTCCCTTCATTCAAGTCTATCTCCTATCTACCTGCTTGGTCAGGATGATAGGGTAACACACACAAATCTGGTATCAGTCACCTGCCTAAACGTCTTTCAATGATTTCTGCACCATCACTGAACACTAACCCTACTTTGATGCTGCTAGTATTCTATGCCTCCTTTACTCGAGTCACAATATTCCCCCAACTCCTGGTGCCTGAAGTGAATCTCAAAGACCAAATTTCAACAATGTGGGGAATGCCGTTGGCAGAATTAAAACAGTCATCTTAATTTCCACATCTATTTATATTAAAATCTAGTAGGTTCAACTGGCTCTGTAGTTCAGCTACCATGTTTATGGAATCAACATGTTAATTTACTATCCTTTCCCACTGTACAAATTAAATCTAAGAACATATTTTTCGAAAACGTTTTCTTTATTACAATGCTAAAAGGACAGGTTTTATTGTTTGTTTGCTTTCTTTCCTTTATTGTTTTGTGTGCCAGTCCTGGAGCTTGAATTCAGGACCTGGGTACTGTCCCTAAGATTCTTTTTCTCAAGGCTACTATGCTCTAACACTTAAGGTCCAGCGCCACTTCTGTTTTTTTCTGGGTAGTTTAATGGAGATAAGAGTTTCACAGACTTTCTGCCTTGGCTGGCTTTGAACTGTGATCCTCAGATCTTTTCTGAGTAGCTAGGATTACAGGTGTGAGCTACCAGTCCCTGGCTCAAAGGATAGTTTAGAATAAATATTTCAAATTCTGGTCCAACTCTCAACTTGTAAAAGGCTTTAGACCAGCAGCTTGAGTTTTTGTCTTTCATGGAGAAGTTTGCTTCAGGCCAATCCACAACCCAGAATCTCTCAAACATATGAGGAACTTTGGACACAACAATACTCCACTGTTAACTTCAGTCCATAAACTGTTCTCGACTAGCCAGCTTCCTCATCATAAACAATCTGCACTGTGATCTGTGTATCTGCTCTAAAAACCCTTATCCAAGCTTAACCTTAAGAGGTTTGTTGGTTATTTATGATAAGCTTACATCTAATATGAAGAACTTTTTTTTTTTTTTTTGTCAGTTGTACGGTTTGAACTCAGGAACTGAGAGCTGTCCCTGAGCACTCTTGCCCAAGGCTAGCACTCTACCACTTTGAGCCACAGCACCATTTCCAGTTTTCTCATGGTTAATTGGAGTTAAGAGTCTCACCGGGACTTTTCTGCCCAGGCTGGCTTTGAACTGCAATCAGATCTCAGCCTCTTGAGTAGCTAGGATTACAGGCGTGAGCCACAAGTGCCTGGCTAATGTGATGAACTTTGGAAGTTATTAAAAATATTTAAGATTTATAAGCAGAATTATCTTTACTGCAGAAAAAACACAGTATGTTTCATGTGAAGAGTTATTTCAATATCACATCATTTTGCATAAAATGGGCAAATTATAAATGTATGCAATTACATATTTTAATATGTAATTTTGCTGTATCTCTACAACCATTTGAGGCATTTTAGTGCCAAACGAAGGTACTTATTCATATAGTGATACATACATACTTATATATGTTATACAAATACATTTATACACATATATGTATGTGTATAAATATAGATACATATAGATACATGTACATATAGATACATATATATGTATAGGTATAGATTCATTATTTTCTTCTGCAGGGTTTGAATTGCTACTGTATGTAAAGAATTCATAAAGCATTACTTTCTTCCTAATAGTCTATTCTCAAAGCCAAAATAATGGATACATTTACTTCATTTCCCAGAGACAATGTTAGCAACTTTGACCTGAAATAAACTACTTTAGTGGGACCAGAAGTTTCCACCCCTTGTTCTCCAGGTCACGGAGAATGCTCTCAGGTGAAGCTGAGATGCGGCGTACCTACCGTCTTGCTGAGGTAACCTGTGCTGGTGTTCATGCACTGTAGACCCTCGCTGTTGCAGCAGCCCCCACATCTGTAGACGGACACACATGGAGGTTTAAAGAAGGTGTTTGTGGCTGCTCCAAACTCCTTCCCCACATCTATACACACCTCCCGGGGCATGCATTGAGTCTTTCTCCACTCATTATCAATACCTGTCGAGTCACAGGGAAGTTCCATAAGTTACACAGAATCCACCAGGCAGGGAGAGCCCACAGCAGTTGGAAGTCACATTTGCTTTCAGATCTCAATTTTGTACCGTGCATACGTTTAGGGAATTAAAAATAAACAAACTGAAAAGATGATAGCTGGCCTAGTGAATAGTATATACACGATATAATCTTTAACAGAATAGCTAAAGGTAGCTCCTTTAAAAACTCATTAGTACAGCCGTCTAACAAGCTAAATTAAAGTTATGCTTTCTAAAAATTACAGCACTTGTGTTTGGTTTTCCTTGCTTATAAAGGTGGAAATTTAATATGTGGGTGTTTACAAGATGTGCAAAAATAGAGTCATGCTCATTTGCTCCAGCATGAACTACTTGCATGGTCCTGATAAGTATGAACAGTATGTTTTCATTTTAAACTGAGATGTAAATGAGAATTGGACTATAATTTTGGACTCAAAAAGTATTCTCAGGTAAACTAATTGGCAAATTTAAGTAGTATCAGGCCAGTAGCATAGCACAAAACAAGGCTAGATTACAACTATCAGGTCTTGTAGCCTAAACTGGCATTTTTATTTTCAGAAAAAAATATTATTTCCTGTCCCCTTTTTATTTTCTCTTTGGAATTTGTTTCTCTGTGTGGGATCTGTGGCTTACCTATAACTCTAGTTTCTTTTTTTGGTATGCCCCCGAATATAATGTTTTGGAAAAAAAAGGGGGAACCGTTGGATATTCAACCACAAAGCAAATTTTTCTTGTTTTGCTTTGAAAATGTTTTGCAATGTCACTATTTGTAGTGAGTGATATATAACATTTAATGATAATTCTTGTTTTTATGATCATTGTTTTTAAATTAACCAACCAGTTTTGAGTATGCCATTATATGTGACAATGCACACTAGATAACTCATCAGCTTTATAAAAAACCAAGCTCAGATCCAGTTATCTTTGAGGCACCAAAGCAACAGTATCATTTCTAAAGGTGATTTGGGTTTGTTTTGTGAGAAATTAAGGCATTTCTAAGTCCAAAACAATATTTGTATAAAACTATTTGCAATGATATAGAAAGTTTGAATGATTAACTGTATACATCTAAAACTTTCTGACAGATTACTACCTCAATTTAAAAAGCCAGTGTGTATTGATACACATGTTTTCTCTCTGTCTTTCAAAAATCCTTTTAACACTCAAAGTGAAATCACAGTATGTTCTATTTCTAAGTAATCCTTTTATTTCCATTTTGTCTACGTCTTTAGGCAATAAAGCATACTCAGTAGTACAAAGGCTGAAATGAAAGGACAACCTAGACAACTTTCAACAGTTTGGTATGAGCTTCTTACAGATTTCTCTCTCCCCTACTTACTTTTCAAGATCTCTGCATTATAATGTGCTGCAGCAAATGTTACAGTGTCTTCTGTCCTTGTGTTGGGATTGGCCTGGTCTTTGTTGTGTTGCCAGCCTCCTTTCCTCAACTGGCACTTGTACATTTTCCAGTATTCTGGGTAGAGGACAGTCATGAGTTCATCGACACTTGACACGGACCGCAGTTGTCCCTCCAAATCTTTGCTAGCATAAGCCTGTCCAAAAAAAAATCCAAGATCAGTCACTCATCAAGCTAAGGGTTAGAAACAGGTGTTTTCATAAACCTTTAGGTTTATTGTTATAGATAATACATTTGATCATAAAATACTAGTACTAATGCCTCCAGAATTACGTGAGTCACTACTTGGTCAAGTTACATTAATATTTTAATTTTATTAAATCAGTATAAATATATTTTGTCATAAAAGAGAGGATCACTGGTAAATTATTCATTTAATAACATAAGAAATGTACTAAACTGTTTTTTTTTCTGTCGGTTATGGGGCTTGAACTCTGGGCCTGAGCGCTGTCCCTCAGCTCTTCAGCTCAAGTGCTCTACCACTTGGGCTACAGCGCCACTTCCAGTTTTCTGAGTGTTTATTGGAGATAAGAGTTTCATGGACTTTCCTGCCAGGGCTGGCTTTGAACCACAAAATCCTCAGATCCCCACACCTCCTGGTAGCTAGGATTACAGAGCCACCAGTGCCCAACTAACTAAACCTTTTTAAGTGGAAAAAGTTTTATAGTTGTCATATATGTCATCTCTTGTCCTGAGAAACCAAATTATTAATAGGTACCGTCTATCTGGGATGATAAACCACAATCCTCCTAAACTCTACTTGCCAAGTAGCTGAGATTATAGAAATGAGCTATTATGCGCTTTAAAGCCACCACGTGCTTCAAATTTTTAATTAGTGTAATTTTTCATTAGAAATGTGAGCAAGTTATACTTTAATACAGTTATACACATTGATTCATCGCTGTTATCATTCCAAAGGGAAGACAGACAGTTTTCTTTAGTCTTTTTATCATTTATATCTCTACCAAATACAATTAACATTGTTCTCATTGCTTCTACCCTAACTAGTTTCTACACATTTTTCTTTGAATTTAGCTAGATAGAATCCTACAGTATATAATTTATAGTGATCAGTCGCTTTTCCTTAACCTCCGCGTGAAAAATTGATCCTTATGTGAAGCGATTTGTTTCATTGTTCTCTGGTTTTCCACTTTACCAACTACCACAATTTATCCAATCCTTGGTCTAAGGTCTTTCAGTCAATGTCATATATTGAGTTTATTACTCAAAGTAAATATACATTTTTCTTTGTAGATATGGCCAAATCATTTTCCAAACTACTTGTACCAACTTACACCTGAGAATGTATATGCATACCCTTGCTCCATATCTTTGTCAGCTAGTAATCCAGTTGTTTAAAAATTTTCAGTCATCCCAATTGATATGTGATAATATCTCATTGTGGCTCACTGAAAGGTCTTTGGTTGACTGATGATAATGAGCACTCATCTGGATGTGGAATTTGCTCTTGTAGAAGTGATAAGTAGAAGCTTTTTATTCCTTTTTGTTGGCTGACTTATTTGTTACTGATTCGTAAGAGCTCCTTGAGTATTCTGGATATGAATCTTTAATAAATATTCTTATGTGTATTGTAAGTATCTCCTGTTGTATAATTTGTGTTTTACTCACTCATAAATGACTTTTGGAGAAATGCTTTTGTCTGAAAATTTTCTCCACAGTTAATATTTTTTGTATATTCTTTTAAACTTGCTTACCTACCCAAATCATGAAAGTATTACCCTGTTTTTCTGTCTAGAATCCTTTAAATTTTACTTTCATATTTGAGCTACTTTGAACTTAAACTTGATTTTTGAGCATAATGAGAAGTAGGAGTCAATATTCTATTCTTTTCTCATATATAACTGATCCTGAAGTTATAAGCTGAAATTTCTTTTTAGCTATTGCACCAAACTGGTCTTTTGTGCTATGAATTATGTTTAGTTTTTCTGAACCTTTGATTTTGCTTAACTTTTCTGTATATAATTATGCTATGACCACACTACAAGAAAGCTTTATAATTAAACTGGAAATTAAGATTATTATGTGGTTGATACATGGGAGGTCTCAAATTTTCATATTAGTGATGTACAAAACTGTTTGCAATTCCATTTCCTTTCTCTTTTATGACTCAGTGTAGATCTGCTTATTCCAAAACTTTGAAGGGCTTCATAGCACTCATAGCAATGGTAACATATGAAAAGCCATGTCCTTTGTATATAGTGTGTGCTCAAGGATGATTATACATCCATCCATAATAGTAGTAGAGGTAATAACAGTAAACAAGGGAAATGATTATATTAATAGATACTCATTCAATAGTATAGCATGGTCAGTTCCCAAAACATATTAGCTGTTAATCATAATCTGTTTTTCTTGTATAATGTCCATTTTCCCAATCCTTTATACCTGTTACTAAAATAACACTTTTGCATACCCAAAGATGCCTAACACGATGCCATAGTCAATTTTGAGTTTTCTAAGAAGAACTTGTTTTAGAAGAGCACACATGTAGAGTATAATAAAATCTTTTGTGTGTGTTTTGGGCATATATATATATATATATATATATATATAAAATTGTATTTGAACCTTAGCTTCTCCACTTATCACGCATGACCTTGGACACTACACCAGAAATAAGAAGAATGCTATAAAAATTAAATAAACCACCATTAATCTAAATAACCCTGTGCTTACTCAAGGTAAATTACTTTTGTATGTTCTCTAGGATAATTTATATTTCATTTTTGTTAAATTTGAGTTGAATTTATTAAACTAATATATGTATAATATATGCTGTTCCCCTTTGCAAAGAAATATTTGTGTTTGACTTTTTTGTTTATATTGCTTTGAATAGAACAGCTAGGATATCTATTCCTACCTGCTGCAAAGATTCATAGAGATGGCAAGTAATAATATGTGCAATATGCTAAACACAAGGTAAATCAAGGAGAAGTCAGTCAGAGCCTTATTAAATTTTGTGGGACTTGAGGGCCTTTTTTTTTGTTGGAGAAGGATGCTTGGGTATATAGGGCCCAATAAGCCTATAAGGATGAAGGAGTGAAAGAGAGTAGGAAGAGGAAAAAATAGTATGGGGGGGGGGGTAGGAGATGTACTAGAAAAGCACACCCTGACTTCTCAAAAGAACTAAAGGACAACATGAAAAGTTTCAGAAAATGGAATCCAAACTCCTGATATTTCAGTGATTTCTGCATTGGCAATTGCATGCCTACTCTTATGCAAGGTGTTGGGACAATACAATAATTCAAGAGCTTCCATCGTTCCTTCATCTATCTCAGTGTGGCCAAGTAATGGTTGGATCCAAAAGTTATAATCCATAGGAATTAATGCAAAGAGTATGTCTTCTTCTTAAAACAGTAACAGTATTTTTGTCATGAACATACGCAATGCACTTCAGCCACAAAGAAAGCACCCATGTCAGGAGTTTTTAAGAGTTTATTGACAATGATAATGTTTCTTCAAGGTTAAAGAGAAGCCAAAAGAATTAAAGTAAATGATAATGGTGAAGCCCATCCATGGTTTCCTCCCTTAGCCCTGCTGTAGATTCTCCTGCTTTAATAGCCATATGGGAAATTGAAGATGACACCTATTGTTTTCTGTTTCTGTTTTCCCTTCTGATGCTATTTAATTCCTCAAAGGTTTTTCATAATATTCCACTAACAACGAATATAGCCAACATACATTCTGAAAATCCTACTGGCTTATAAGTATAGATAATGATAATAATTTTACTCTAAGCTTATGTTGCTCCATTAATAAAACGTAGATAAGGAAACATACTTTACAAAACTGCTGTTAAAGTTTACAATGAAATTTGTAAAGCACACTGTAAGAAGGAGGTACACAAGGCAGTCACTTACTTTAATAAAATATTCCAAATAAATAGGAATAAAAATTATGATTGTCTTATAACTTTTGTTAAATGACTATTATGTGCCAAAGAATGTTCTAGGCATGTTACTTGGAAACTTACTCATTTACAGAGTTTATAAGATAGAAACCATTTATGTTTATTTTGGGAGCTAAGAATACTGCTCTTGAGCTACTTGAATTTGTTCTTTCCAAGGGATTTGCAAGTTTTAGAGCATACCTGTTTTGTAGATTGCAATTAATTCCAGATGCATTTCTTACTGCTTATGTGCTTCTGTGTCTAAAAGGGATTCCAGATTAGTTACAAAAGTGGTAGGGAAAGGAATTTGTTGCTATGAAACAATGTTGAGTAAAACAAAGTTGAATTATTTAACCAGAAGTCCTGTGCCTAAAAGAACAAAAATTTCATTTTTCACTATTACAAACTCTTGATCCTAATTTCTCTCCATAACTAAGAATTTACTTTAAGGTAACAAAAGTACAATTTCTGTATAAATTACCCAACTACTCATACATTTCTATGATGCTGATTTTATAGTTATTCCACGCTGTTTCTGGGAGGGAAGAGTATGTGGTTGTTTGATGTGCACTCATGGGTGACTGGAATGTGCTGAAGATATTTTTAGTAAATAAGCAAGCTGGAAAAATGACTAAAGACTATCTAATTCATCATTAATGATTTGGAAATTTGACTGAGGTCAGTATCACTCAGTCAACACTAGAAAAGGCACTTTCTGAAACCACAAAACACAGTCTTATCAACCCAAGTTCCCCCGTGTCCCTAACTGATTACTAATAGCATCACTCTACCTATTGTTCAGTATCAAAAATCTGGAGGAAAATCATGGCATAGTACCTTGCTAAATTTTATGATATTTATGAATTATTATGATTTCCTCTATTGAAATGTTGAGTTGTCTAAGTTAACAATTATGAGGTTTACTACTATTTCTATCAGGTGTATTAATAAAAATGAAATACTGAATGGAGAAGAAAGACAGATCTACACTGAGTGAAGGTAAAAATTTTTAAATATATGATGAACAAATATTACTTCAAGTGTCCTTCCTGGCCCTCAAAAATTACAATTTTGACAAATGAGTACTGTGTTGAAGAATTGTTTCACTTTTAACATCGATGTGTCTATCTTCTTTCCCTGAGAAGTATGTGGGAGGATACGATCCCAATAAATAAGGGAAGAAGTTATCTGATTAATGAAACTGTCTTCCTTACCTGATGCTTAGA